TACCCCTCCTATCTCTTTTTTCTGTACCCCTTCCCCCTCACCTGAATTTATGCAAAACCATTCAAATAAAGAATTTAACAAAAAAAAAAATCTGGTAATTTTATTAAAGGACACGGAGGCTCATATTATGCTCGTTCAAAGCTGTGCAACCACCGTAGTGGAAAAATGAGGAACTGGACGAAAATAGAATTCCCGAAAAGTAGGTTCCCGGGACCGATCAGCAGCATGGAGGAGGTCCTCTAACCTGCAACCTAAGGAGAAAGCTTTTGATGTCATAGCGCCTCTAACAGAGAGTGCTCCATACTTGGAAGGGTCAATGTCAGCTGACTTCATGATCCATTTGACCCTACGAGATAGGGTCACTGTAGAAACTGATATGGACGTCAAAGGGCTAGAAACAAATCAGCATTTTTAGGATCACAGATTGAAGAGGTCCTCTCATATTCCTTGAGACAGACCACTGGACATAGGTTAACATTATGTGGAAAGGCTGGATAAACAACCGAGGTAATGGATGTTGTCGTACGTCTTGAGATGTCAAAGGAAACGCCTGTGAGGAACTGACTCTGCTGGGTTTCGAACCCTGGTTTACATGGTGCTAAACCTCTTGCTTACCAGTACACCAGCCTGCCTTTTGCAAAGTTACCTGAGATCTGATACCATTGCTTGTAGAGTCAAGGTTATCAGTGACAACTCTCTTGTGTCTGGTTCTTGGCCTATAAAAGCCACTTCCTGTCTCTGTACCTTTGCCAGATTATTGTGGTTCCTGTACTCTCTAATCAAGCGTGTTCCTGTTTCTCCTTCCTGTTGCTGAATTTGGACTGTTTTGACTTTGCTGCTTCTCCTTCCCACTGACCTCGGCTTGCCTCACTACGATTATCATCTTTCTGTTCCAGTCTCCCATCTCTGCTTAAGACCAGAAGGCCACTCAAGGCTCAGGGGCTCAACCACCTGGGTAACGAGTGGCTACCTCTGGCAGAAAACATTGCTGATCTGACTATTGGATTCCAAAACTTTGTAACATCAATATCATTACAACGCCATCTGGAGTAAAAGAATGTGCCGTAATGTCCAGTGCACGAACGTCTGAGACACGTTTACAGGAGATGAGACAAAACAACATAACTAACTTTTCCGTGAGTTGCTTAAGCGAAAGGTCTTCATTCTGAGGCCAATTCTCAAAGAGTCGAAGGACAAGGCTCACATCCCATAAGGAGGAATATTTAGGACATGGAGGATGTACAAATCTGATGCCACGAAGAAGTCGAGATACCAAGAGGGTTGGAAATTGGTTCCAACCCTGGTGGCCTGCTGATATAGCTGACCTATATAGATTGATCATACGGTATGCTAGTCCGTGGTCAAGCAGTAAAGTGAGGAAACTCAGGACCTGACTCACAGGTGCAGATATGGGATCCACTTGTTGTTCCATGCCCCAACAATTCCATGAATTCCAGGCATGAAGATAGGATTTATTGTAGAAACAGGTTGATATGGGCGTCGAAGGGCTAGAAACAAATCAGCATATGTAGGATCACGGATTGAAGAGGTCCTCTCATATTCCTTGAGATAGGCCACTGGACATAGGTTAACATTATGTGGAAAGGCTGGATAAACGACTGAGGTAATGGATGTCTTCGTACGTCTTGAGATTTCAAAGGAAACGCCATCTGGAGTAAAAGAACGTGCCATAATGTCCAAGGCACGAACGTCTGAGGCATGTTTACAGGAGATGAGACAAAACAACATAACTAACTTTGCTGTGAGTTGCTTAAGCGAAAGGTCTTCATTCTGAAGCCAATTCTCAAAGAGTCGAAGGACAAGGCTCACATCCCATAAGGAGGAATATTTAGGACATGGAGGATGTACAAATCTGATGCCACGAAGAAGTCGAGATACCAAGAGGGTTGGAAATCCGTTCCAACCCTGGTGGCCTGCTGATATAGCTGACCTATATAGATTGATCATACGGTATGCTAGTCCATGGTCAAGCAGTGAAGTGAGGAAACTCAGGACCTGACTCACAGGTGCAGATATGGGATCCACTTGTTGTTCCATGCCCCAACAATTCCATGAATTCCAGGCATGAAGATAGGATTTATTGTAGAAACAGGTTGATATGGGCGTCGAAGGGCTAGAAACAAATCAGCATATGTAGGATCACGGATTGAAGAGGTCCTCTCATATTCCTTGAGATAGGCCACTGGACATAGGTTAACATTATGTGGAAAGGCTGGATAAACGACTGAGGTAATGGATGTCTTCGTATGTCTTGAGATGTCAAAGGAAACGCCATCTGGAGTAAAAGAACGTGCCGTAATGTCCAAGGCACGAACGTCTGAGGCATGTTTACAGGAGATGAGACAAAACAACATAACTAACTTTGCTGTCAGTTGCTTAAGCGAAAGGTCTTCATTCTAAGGCCAATTCTCAAAGAGTCGAAGGACAAGGCTCACATCCCATAAGGGGGAATATTTAGGACATGGAGGATGTACAAATCTGATGCCACGAAGAAGTCGAGATACCAAGAGGGTTGGAAATCCGTTCCAACCCTGGTGGCCTGCTGATATAGCTGACCTATATAGATTGATCATACGGTATGCTAGTCCGTGGTCAAGCAGTAAAGTGAGGAAACTCAGGACCTGACTCACAGCTGCAGATATGAGATCCACTTGTTGTTCCATGCCCCAACCATTCCATGAGTTCCAGGCATGAAGATAGGATTTATTTGTTCCTGCCCAAGATCTCACCATGCGTTCCAGAGTTGTTGATCTGGTCTCCAGCTGAAATTTTTTTGGTAGGTGGAAGTTCAAACATGATGCGAATAGGTCGGTCTCTAGAGAGCCCCAAAGAGACTGCAAACGGAGGAAAACAGACGATTTCAGCCACCAAGATGGTTGTTGTAACGAACCGCAGGTACGTTGTCCATCTGTAAGAGTATGAAACAATTGGTCGATACACCCAAGAGGCTCTGTAGGGCAAATGAACTAGCCAAAAGTTCTAAGCAGTTAATAAGCATTTACTGTTATTCCAGGGACCATTTACCCCCAGTGGAGGTAGGCCCGCAGCAAGCACCCGAGCTGCGCATACTTTCATCAGATTATATCATGAAATCCGGAGCGGTTCCAAAGATTGCTCGACCGTTCCATGCCTCGCCACCACTGGAGTTCCTCTTTGGCTGTGCAGTCGAGAGGAACAGAGTCTGAATAAGAATGACCCAAATGAAGGTCTTTGGCTTTCAGGTGTTGAAGTGCTCTGTAATATATGAACTATGGCTTGAATCGAAGCTGGAGAAGGCAGATGATACTGGCCAGTTGTCTCAGGGTCAGGCCAGGAAGTGCTAATGTCCAGCGGATTTCTTTCTTGATTTTTGGTGGGTTATAATAGGAGTGCCCCAGACACTGAATCTATGATGAATCCCAGGAATTCCATGGATTGAGAAGGTTCAGGGACCGACTCTTCCCAATTAAGAAGGAAACCAAGATTGCTCAGTAGAGCCATTGTCCAGGACAAGTGTACGTGGGGCGTGTGAGAGTCCTGCGCTATTATGAGGATATTGTCAAAGTATATAATGATGCGAACTTGTCTGCTGCACGGAAGGGTCACTACTGGTTTCAGTAGTTGTGTGAAGCACCATCTGGCAGAAGAGAGGCCGAATGGAAGGCCTTTCAATCGCCACATGGTCTTTTCCCACCAAAATTGCAGGAATTGTTGGAAGTCTTCGGCCATCGGGATGGTGATGTATGCATCCTGTAGGTCGAGTTTGACCATCCAATCACCCAACAGGAGAAGGTCCCGAAGAGAGTGAATACACTACATTTTGAAATGGTGGTATGCGACAAAAGCATTCAGTGGTCGTAGATTGATGACAGGTCGAACGCCCCTACTTTCTTGGGAACTAGGAAAAGGTTGCTCAGGAAACCTGGGGTGTGAGGATGAATTTTCAAGATTGCACCTTTGGATGCTAGGGGCTGTATGTCTTGTGACACCAGGTGCCGGTCATGTGTTGAGAACACGATGCGGTTGGGTAAAAACCTCTGAATAGGGTATTGTACGAAGTCTATGGAATAGCCTAAAACAGTTTGAATGACCTAAGCATCTGAGGTTAGCATTTACAAAATGACTCAATCTGTCCCCACTGATATCAAAGGGAAATGGCATGAACTTGAACTTGCCATAGGAAGAACCTCTGGGTCCGCGAGGCTGCCAAGGTCTGCCTCGAACTGGGGAAAATGGTAAATTGGATTTGGGTTCAGGTGCTTAAAACCTGAAGTGACTGGAGCATCAGGAACCTCGGTAGGAACGGCCAGGCAGACGGCCCCGAAATCTGCCGGCCCCGCCAAAAACTCTCTGGGAGAACACACGCTTCATATTGTCTTGCGCCTTATCAAGTGCCGTGATGGTCCCTACATATGCGCCTAATTCCTTCACAAAAACTGTCTCCAAATAGGAGGTCTTTTGCCTGTGGCCCAGGCTCTGAAATAGCTAGATTCAGTAGCTTAGGCTCAATTTGTCAGGATAATGAAATAGAAAATAAAGGAGATATAACATATAGTAAAATTAATTTAGAAAGAACAATGGTAAGAGAAATGAAAATTAAATGGGAAGTTGCGACCCTAGAAAAATATATGAGAGAAAAAATTACCCCTAGGGGTTTGAGATTTAATAAGAGTCCATCTTTTGACCAAGAAGATGAAGACTTTATCAAAGAATGATCAGAAATGCTTGAGAATTTCTCCTTAGGTATGATGAGTTTGATTATCAAAAGAAGGAAGAATACTCTAATAAAATTAGATGAAGATATAAATAAAATGCAAAATTTCATTATGAATAACACATCCCCTGAAGAATATTCAAGTATTACTAAGGAAATTCTATTAACTATCGATAAAATAGAGAAAAGTGTGATAGAAATAAAAGAAAGGAAGTATATCAGAGACAAAACCGATTATGCTAAAAAACAGGTGAGGACCTTCTTTAAAAAGGAACAGAAAAAGAGTATGAATACAAAATACTGGGGAGAACCACGTAGAGAGGAATACCCCAATAGAACAAAGAATAAATATAAATCAAAAACACCCGTAAAAGAGTATAAATCCAGAATCCCAAATAGGGAACACCCTAATAAAGAACAGAAAAGGACTCAACAATGGGAGGTGGTCAAATATAAGACTAAGAAAACACCTGAAAATCTAAGAATGAAAACATACCACACACAGAGGGAAAGACAGAGAGATAATGAGGAAGATAGAAAAAGGAAAGATATTCGTACAACAAAAAGATTTGAGCATCTCGATAAATATTCCAGGAATGAGGATTTTTTAGAAACTCAGGCAAAAGGGAGATACAAACAGATGGAAGGAGCATACAAATCCCCAGGAAAGAGAATGAGGGCCGTAGAAGAAGGGGAGATAGAGGAGGAAAAAATATACAGAGAAGAAAGGAGAAACAACAAACAATTCAACAAAGTGGCATTTTCAACCTCACTGAGAGAACACTCACTAAACGCCAGGTAACTCTATTAAAAAGAGGCCTAAAATTTGCTCCAACCAAAACACTAGACAAATTAAATTTTTATATTGATTTAAATACATTTTAACAAAAGATGTTTAAAAAAATGTTTTGACAAACAAACTATCAATGAGTCTAACCCCCATAGAGAGTATAGTCAAGTCACACATACAGAATTAAAAGACCCCTCAAATTTTTTTCCAATGGGTGAAGTTTCAGAAGAAATTAGCACTTTTGAAAAAATGGTCTTGTATGATTTACAAAAAATAAGGAAACCGAAAAGCAAGAATATAATTTAAATCAAACTGAAAAAACAGCACTAAATTTTTTTAAAGAGCATAATACCCTTGTGATAAAACCAGTGGACAAAGGGGGCGAGGGGGAGGCAGATTGTACTATTGGAAAGAAATTACTATATTGAAGAATCCCTATGGTTATTAGGAGATAGAAACACCTATCAAATACTAAATAAGGACCCAATATTGAATATTAAAAAAGCTATGTTTCATTAATAGACAAAGGAAAAATGCTTGGAATTTTAAATAAGAAAGAATACAATTTTTAAAATATTTTAAACCCAAGAACACGAGTTTTTTATTATCTTCCTAAGTTCCACAAAAATAAAGAGAAACCCCCAGGGCGCCCAATAGTTTTGGGGATAGGATCAATATAAAGTAAACTCTCGCAATATCTGGATAGATGCCTACAGCTACAGTCAGAGATGTCCAAGTCATCTGAAGGACTCTCTTAGCCTCCCTACTATTTTAAAAGATCAGAAATGGGAGGAAGATTTTTCCTAGTAACCTCGGATGTGGGCTCATTATATACTATTATCTCCCATGGGAAATGATGCCTATCAACAAAACATTTTTTTAATGTTTTTCCTCCACCACGGATCGATTTTATTTTGGATGGAATGCAGTGGATTTTAAATAATTATTATTTTTGGTTTGAAGATAATTTTTACCTCCAGATCTGTGGAACAGCGATGGGCACTAGTTTTGCACCCAGTTATGCCAATTTTTTCATGTCCCTGTGGGAACATGAGTACATACACAGTATGCGTGACTGGGATGCAAATTTGGTGCTCTATCGCCTATATATCCATGATATATTTTTTTATATGGAGGGGAAGTGAATCTTCCCTCCTGGATTTTCTTAATTTTTTAAATAATAACGACCTGGGTATAAATTTTTTTTGATCTTAATATTTATGTTGAAGAAGAAAAGATTTAAACGAGGACATATTTTAAAGCAGTAGATGTGAATAGTTATGTGGATGAGGGAAGTTGCCATTTCTCCCCATGTTTGAGAAATGTACCAAAATCACAATTATTAAGAATCAAACGTAATTGTACTGAAGAAAAAGAATGTAAAAAGCATTCAAAAAAAATTATGAGTGACTTTAAAGATAAAGGGTATAAGGAAGAACTCCTAAATAAAGCTCTTGAGGAAATTAACTTTTAATCTCTAATAAATAAAAAAAATAACGACATAGAGAATCAAATTTCATTTATTAGTGATTTTAATTGTAAACACAATGATATTCAAAAAATTCTGAACAAATACTGGCCAATACTGAAAAAAGATGGAACATTAAAGTACCACTCTAGGCACCCAGACCACTTCAGCTTAATGAAGTGGTCTGGGTGCCAGGTCCCTCTAGGATTAACCCTTTTTTTTTATAAACATAGCAGTTTCAGAGAAACTGCTATGTTTATAAAAGGGTTAATCCAGCCTCTAAATCCTCTAGTGGCTGTCTCATTGACAGCCGCTAGAGGCGTTTGCGTGCTTCTCACTGTAAAAATCACAGTGAGAAGACGCCAGCGTCCACAGGACTAAAAGTGCAGATATTCTTGTGAAGATAATCCAGAAATGCTACCTCAGCATAAGGCTTTAGTGCTGCAAGACGTGCTGGCTGTGAGTCCTGGGCAACCTTTACATGTGTCTGTTGGGCTCTGACTCAGCATAAGGCTTTAGGCTGAATGCTTTCCTATGAGACCGGCTGAATGCGCGCGCAGCTCTTGCCGCGCATGCGCATTCAGCCGAAGAGGAGGATTGGAGGTGAAGAGGAGGAGGAGAGCTCCCCGCCCGGCACTGGAATAAAGGTAAGTTTAACCCCTTTCCTCATCATCCAGCCCGGCGGGAGGGGGACCCTGAGGGTGGGGGCACCCTCACGGCACTATAGTGCCAGGAAAACGAGTATGTTTTCCTGGCACTATAGTGGTCCTTTAAACTCCATACTCCCAGAAAAAACGAACATAATTTATAGGGGAGTACTTAAAAAGTTATTTAGTTCACAGCCATCTACAGATAAAATAGGATCCAAAGAATTTTTTTAATGAAGAAGCAGGCTTCTATGGGTGCGGTAATTGTGGGGCATGTGTTAATACGAAAAATAAAAAAAGACACATTAAAGAATTCATACATCCAAAAAAATGGGAAAGAGTTATCTACGTAATCACATGCACATGCGGTCTGATTTATGTAGGAAGATTTACAAGGGCATTGCATGTGAGAGTTTAGGAGCATGTTCGGATTATCAAAATAGGATTTGAAAAACACAACCTTTCCCACCATTTTAAGTTAAAACACAACAGAGACCCAAGTCAACTCAAATTTTTGGGGATACAAAAAGTTGAGACCAATTGGAGGGTACAAGATCTCATTACTGCAATGAGCAAGTCGGAAATTAGATGGATCTTTAATGTAAATTCCCTCCTTCCCTATGAGTAAAAAAACAGTGACTTTGAGCTATATCACTTTTTATCATTTAACATAGGTTAGTTTTTAATAAAGTACTGTAATGAATCGATATTTTAAGATCTTGGGTTATTCATATAGGCAAGATGGAGAACTCTGTTTAATTGTACCAAAACCTTTTGATCAGAAGACTTATATAGTCTTAATCTTGATATATATATATATATATATATATATATATAAATCGATATAATGTACATAGGTTTAAAGCTATTATACTTAGCTGTATATTCAGTTCTCCATCTGCCAATGTCTGTTTATTTTTAGCTGTATTTTTTAATTATATTTTAACTGCTTGTTTTCTGTTGTTTTTTACCCCCTACATGAGCTATATCCAATATAAGGGTTAATATACTTGTGTTTATGGATATCATATATCCTGACTATGACATGAGAAAAGACGAGAAGGGGGGGCGTGGCTTAGCGAGCAACGCGGATGGTCGCACTGGATTGAGCTCCGCTCCAAGCTAGCCCAATAAGCTAAGAAAAAAGCATTACCTGCGGGGAAAAAGCAAAACCCTCGACTCACCCAACGATGTCCCACCCGAAGCACAAAAAGCAGGCTGAAAAAACCGACAGGTCGGAGTTCTTTGTGGCCCGAGCATCGACGCCGAAAGCTGCGGGCCTGTTAGACCAGTCCCAAGATGGCGACGGCGGGAACGACACACTGCCGCTACGGACCCCCCCGGGCTCCCACAACTTATCGGTAACACAAGACTTCCTGCAGAACTGCTTGGAGGACATGTCCAGCAAAATTCTGGCGTCCATCCAAAGCACCCTGAGGGAGCTTAGCAAAGACGTGCAGGAGCTGGGGGACAGAACCGCGCGGGTGGAACAGCGCGTGGAGGAGCAGGCATCTGCTCATAACGAGCTGGCAGACCAAATGCATAGCCTACAGCAGCAACTGGACCAGTCACAAAGAAAAATCATGGATCTGGAGGACCGTTCTCGGAGACAAAATCTGAGAATTCGAGGCATACCGGAGGAAGTGTCACAACAAGACCTACATCCTTACCTCATAGAGTACTTCAAAGCGTTGACTCCCGAACTGCCAGCGGAGGTACTGATCCTAGACAGGTACCACAGGGTCCAAAAACCAACGTTCCTGCCGCAAGACACACCAAGGGATGTGCTAACCCACCTCCACTACTTCCATGTAAAAGAGGCAATTCTCCAGGCCACGAGAGGGAGCAGAGATCTGCCACAAAAATTCACCCACATAAAAATCTTCACAGATCTGTCAGCGGCTACACTACAGAAAAGGAAAGAATTCAAAACGACCACAGAGGCCCTATGCAACAACGGCATCCAGTACCGGTGGGGATACCCGATCCGCCTGTTGATCAGGAGGAATGGCACACTGACAACGGTCAACACGCCAGAGGAAGGCCACAAACTACTGCGCAGCTGGGGCATCCAACCAGCCCAAGTAGGGGTAAATGCTGCAGACCAGCGCAGACTGTCTCCGGAGTGGAAAATGGCCAAAAAATGATCTGAAAAGGAGAATCAAAGCAAGAGATGGGACTTGACAGAGACTCAAGAGGGAGCGGACAGACACTGGGTCGCAAGTATACTTGGCACACAAGACACAACTTCCTACTAGTTCCACACTACACACAGCCGCACCATTAACATGGCATATGTCAATGCCCAGCACACTTAATGAAGCAAGAAAAACAAAAAACAAAAAAAACACTCACAACAACTTGATAGGAGCTCAGACCTATATATAGTCTTGTCTAGGCGCTACGCCCCTGCCAAGCTGGTACTCATACTCATCTCACCTTTCGCAACTTAGTCATAAGCCGCACGCAGGCCAAGAGACGGCGAGTAATGGGCATAGCATGTTCACCTGGCAACACCACACACACCATTCTTCAGGGTACACCACGCACCCCCTTGGCACCACATAACTTTCCCTTCAGTGGGAAATGTTCAATTGTAATATTGTGATACTGTATGTTTTGTTTTATGTTGCACTGTTTACCCCAAAGGTCATGCATATGAATAGCACGACTGTTTCTTTCCCTGTACACTATCCCACCCTTGCCCCCACCACCAGACAGGTTGGGAACCACGTAGTAAACCTTCAAGCTGGAGACCACAAGACCCAGGGAGGGGTAGTACAACATGCACTAATCCCCAAGGCCAAAAGCAAGAAACTCCAACACAACACATTAAAATACGAAGATACACTGCCATAATGTAAAAGGTTTAAATACTCCAGTAAAAAGATACTGCC